GCCCTCTGCCCACAAGCCCCACCGGAGCATGGTGCTACACAATGGGGGACCAACCCTGAGCTTAAGGGCTCATGAAGTTTACAGTGGGCAGCAAAAGCCCACCCTTTGCCCTGGAGGGAGAGAAGTCCAAGCCTTCTGTGCCACCGCCATCCTTGAAGACCAGCGCAGAGCAAAGCTCAAGGTATGCAGAAACACCACCGTGGAGCACTCTCCCGGCAAGCGTCACAGCCCCCTACAGGAGCCCGGAAGTCCCTCCAGGAGCGGTGACTGCCCCTTGCCCCCTCCCCTATTGGAAGGTGACCCCTCTAAGTTGCTGCCTGGGTGTCCACTCAGCTCCTTGGCTTCTGCATGGCCCCAGCCTCTTCCCAGGGTCCCTCCCTTGTCCTCGGGGAGCAGGGGACACACTCCCTAGAGGTTCAGGCTGGACAGTCCCCCACATCCCCACCATGGGGCCCTGGGAGACGGGCAGATGCTGCCCTCGACATCCACACCCTGCCTGCACACCCTGACCTTCTGGGGAACTAAAAGAACCCTCACAGTGTTTGCTGAGTCCATTGAGGTGAAGCCCCTGAGGGAGGAGTTGGGAGAGGTGCCCGCTGGGGGCTCCTCCTCTGCCTTCCACAGTCCCAGGGGCTGTGAGGGGCCTTCCCAGCTCAGGGACCCACCTTACCACACCATGAGTCTCCCAGAGTCACGGAGGCCGGCTGGACCTGGGCGAGGGGTTGAAGATAATGGGCAGCCTGCAGAGCCCGGGCCTGGCTGTGGGCTAACGTAATCCACCTGGCCTGCTTTCTGCCCCCCAGATGGGAGCCTGGGGCCACATGAAGAAATAAGTGACAGCTGCTGGTGACAGCAGGAGCTAGACTCTGCTGAAGGTTCTTTTCCCAGAGGGACCCTGCTATAGCCACAGTGGCCCACAAGGAAGGGGCCTGCTGTGCAGACTGGTGTTAGTGCCCTGGAGCTCCATCATGGTGACAGACCCCTGAGAGGAGCCCACCAAGGGAAGCCTGGTCAGCCCACGGCGCTGGAGCCCACCGTGGCCGGGAGCCTGTGGCAGAGCAGAGCTGCCCACCTTAGGGTAGCCAGGAAGCTGCCCACCTTAAGACAGCCAGATCCCCATGTTCCCTCGAGGGCGCACCCCAGTGACAGCTCGGAGCTGCAGCCTTCAGGGGCTCTTGCTCCTTCCTGCCTCACCCCACCTCCTGGTCACTTCCTGCAGCAACTACGGCCCACAGTTCCCACCTCGGGCTCTGCTTTGGTCTGTCCTGGGACTAGACTCTGGTGGGTTCTGGGGCCAGCTTGCCCACTAGGATGGTGACATGAGGGTCCTGATGGCACCCGGGGTGGTGACAATCGGCCTGCAGAGCCCTTGCCACACCTGGGTCTGAAGGCCGTGATGGCCCTGCGGGGGTGAAAGCTCTCCTGGGGGGTGTGACGACACTTCTCTGGAAGCCAGAGGGCAGGCAGTGCTGAAAACCAGGCCCAGGGACTGACCATGAGTGGACCCTGGGGAAGCCTCGTGGGCTTGACTGGCGGTCTCCTGGCAGTGGGACTGGGTCCTGGTGGCTTGGCGTCATCTATGAGAATCCCCTGGGGATGGTCCTTGGAGGCGAGGAAGTGCCCCCCCCCCAAGACTGAGCTTGGTTCTCTGTGGTCACCATAACAAGTGACCACAAACTGGGTGACCAAAGACAACACAAATTCATTGTCTCATGGTTCTGGAGGCCAGAAATCTGGGGTGGAGGGTGGCCAGGGTGATTTCCTGCAGAGGGCTGTGAGGGGACTTGTCCAGACCCTCCCAGCTCCCAGCTGGCCATCTTGGTGTTGCTTGGCTCACAGGAGCGTCCACTGCTGCCTTCATCCTCCCTTGGCCTTCTTCCCATATCTGAAGGACACCAGGGTTGGACACCAGTAGTGGTCTCATCCTGATGCAGGGTGACCTCATCTTACCCTTCAAAGACTGTCTTCAAATAAGGTCACCTCTGCAGTACCAGGGTTAGGACTTGGGCATTCTTCGGGGACACTTTCCACTCTGTGCTTCTCTTCAAGACCTGCCTTCTCCCCTGCGTCCCAACCCGTAGGTGGGACCCAGGGCCTGCCCAGCCTGTGCAGGGAGGGGAGGGACAGCTGCTGCTGCTGCGGAGCTCCGTAGCTCCGTACTGGGACGGGTTTACTCCACAAGGGCAGAGTCCCCCCCTGTGGAGCCCAGGCCCTCACGGTAGGAGGGGCAAGTCGAAGTCTGGGAGCAGCCCTCGGGAGTGGAGCTGGTGTGCAGGTGCCCCCAGGGTTGGGGCCTCTTTCCTGAGCTCTCCTCCACACCCCTGGCTGCTCCTGGGGTCACCCTCCAGACGGAGCCGGATACCGTTCCCCCAGAACCTCAGAATGACTTTACTTAGAACAGGGTCTTTGCAGGTGTAGACGGTTAAGAACACCCCGCTGAAGTGGGTGAGCCTGAATCCAGGGGGAGGTGCCCTGGAGGGGAGGCCCGAGACAGATGCCATGGACGCTGGAGGCAGCAGTGGGGCGATGCCCACAGCAGCAGGAGCACAGAGGCCCGGCCCAGGTGCTCCCTGGAGCCTCCCCAAGGGGCCACCCCTGCCCCCACCTGGCTGTGCAAGTTGCAGCCTCCAAAGCTGAAAGAATCAGCCTCTGCTTCAAACCCTCCAGTGGGAGGCACTTGGCTCTGGCAGCCCTGGGAGTGCGATCCTGGCCCCCACGTAAACTCCCTGCACCCAACCCCTTGCTAGGCTCTGTCTAAAGGGAGCCGGGACCAGGACACCCCTCCCTGCAGTCCTGGCTGAGAGAGGGGCGGGGAACGAGGCTGTGTGTGGTTGGGGCTTGTCCTGCCATTGCCTTGGGAGAGGCTGGGTGCTGTCTCCCCCCACCCTGGGCCCCTCACCTCCAAGCCAGGGAGGTTCAGAGGTCCCTGTTCCCAGCACACATCCCCACCTCCGTCAGAGCAAGAAGCCACCAACCCCAGTGACCTGTCCCTGCCAGGATGAGATGCCTGCCTGCCTCCGCCAACTGCCCCAGGTGCCCCCTCCCTGCGCTGGCTCCTCTCAGCTGCAAACTTTGATCCGCCCCTGGCCTTCAATCTGCTCCTCTCATCACCACCGGAATAGAAGCCGCTGTCTGAACAGCACCAGTCCTCCCTCCTGGCCTGTAAACATGTGGGCAGAAATAGCAGCCCGACGCTGGAGGGGGGGACTGCTGGTGCAGAATGAGGCGAAGCTGCAGCTCAGTGGGCCTGGCTGCGTGGGAGCCCAAGGCAGCCTCAAAAGTGGCTTTAAATAGCTCCCCGTGGGTACATGCCGCAGAGCCGGGCAGCCTGCGGGTGGCAAGGAGGCAGGGCAGAGGTGGGCGCTGGGGGGGGGCGCCTGGCATTGCGGGGGGGTCAGCCTGTTGGCCTCTGGGTCCAGATGAGTTCAGCAGCTTGGTGAACTTGAACCCACCCCTTCCCCAAAGTCCCAGAACTGGCAGCGAGTGACCCTGGCCACCCCTGGGAGAGAGGAGGCAGTGTGGACCATCTGGAGCTCGGGCCCCCACTCCGGGCAGCTCTCCAGGTCCACAGAGGTAGAAAGCAGTCACCGTGCCGAGAGGCCCCGAGGCGAGACAGGAGCTGTGCCTGGACCACACGGGGCCTCCCTGTTCTGTGCCTCCCCCTCCATCAGGAGGTGGCCTGGAGCCCCAGCTGACCCAGATCCGGCTCTGCTGCTGCCTGGCCACCTGTTCCCTGCTGGCTCTGAGGCCCATTTCCTATCTGCAGCTCCTGGTCACACTGGAGTCCAGCCCGTCCCAAGCCTCCCAGCCTCATCCTTAGTGCAGGGCAGCCAGGGGGTGTGGAGGGGTCCTTGGAAGTGAGGGTCTCAGCTGGATGCAGAGTGGCGAGCCAGGCCATGGTCTGAGCAGAGGTACTAATGCCCTCCTCTGCCCCTTGGGAAATAGCTGGACCCCGTGTCCCTGGCAAAATGTCTGGGCCAGAAGGGACCCCATTACCCTGCACCTATATGGGCCTGGGGTCCTGAGGGCTGTTGGTCAGCTCACACGGTGGGCAGTGGCCAGGGGGCACTCTTATGCTCCACAACTGTCACCACCAAGCTCCCCAGTGTAGTGGGGTGGGGGCCACCAGGATGACGACCAAGGGCTAGTCAGCGGTGGCAGGATGCCACCTCCATTAGGCAGGGTGCTGGCCCTGGCTGACTTCACCTCTTGAGCTGGGCTCTTCTGGCTCTGCTGGCTGGACCCTACAGCAATCAAGGGGTGGACAGCAGTTCTGCTAATTGCACCCTGTGTCTTCCGTGTGGATGACCCAGTGCCTTGGAAAAGCTGGACCCTCATCAAGGGCTGCCAGTCTCATGCTCCAATGGCCACCAGGCTCTTGGGCTGCAATGCTGTCACCCTGAGTCCTTGGTGGCAGCAGATGGGATGGGCAGGGTTCTGTGTGGCCTCCAGGGTCTTCTGAGTCTCTCTCACCTCATCCAGGAAGGCATCGGAGTGACCATGCCCTCGGCCGGGGCACCCACCAGGGACCGAGGGATGGTACCTCCTGGAGCCTACTCCAGGACCCTGCCCCTCTGGCCCTCACTGGTGTCCTGGACATAGCGATGTGGCTCATCTTCTGGGATGCAGCCCCTGAGCTCCTCTGGCCCCAAGTCTGTCCCCAGCCCTGAGACTTCAGGAAGGCATCTCAAAAGCAGGTGGCTCAGGGGTCAGCCAGCCCTGACCTGGGCTCTTGGACCTGCGTCTGCGTTTGAGGAAGTGACCCATCACAGCCCAGATGCAGGGCAAGAAGGGCACCAAGCACCTGACACCAGTGTCACCAAGCCTCTCCTCTCCTCCCTGAGCCCCCAGCCCCAGTATCTAGCAAGGATCCCAACCCCACTGTTTTCCCAGCACAAGGTGCACGCCCACACTGACTGTTCTGAGTCGCCCGAGACTGCCCCCCCAGAGGGCACCCCTCAAGCCCGCAGGACGCCAGCATTCCAGGCTGTGGTGCAGCTGCAGCGATGGAGACCCGAGCGGCTGCCAGGCTGAGGTTTATTTCATGCTGGGACCGAGGAGGACTTGCAACAGCTTCTCCCCCTTTCACTGCGACAGGGGCTGGCCACCGCCTCCTCCCACTCTCTGATCCCGATCCCACAGAGCAAAGGCCGAGACATCAGTGTGAGCCTGAGACTAAGGATGTGGAGCCTGCCTCGGCCTCGGGGCCAGGCCAGGTCCACCCCTCTCAGCAACAGTCTCCCTAGGTCGGAGGGAGCTCAGGCTGGTGGTCCTTCCCAGAAGGACAGGGTGAAAGTACAGGAGACAGGCTTCCTCTCCTACTGCGCGGCCAACTGTCCGCCCACCGAGCAACGCAGAGGTGTCCTTCCTCCCCGAGTTTCCAGGCGGCCTCTGCCCCGGCAGCAGGGCAGGCAAGGGCAGCTGCCGTCCTGCCTCACATAGCGTACGCTGCCCAGTAGATGACGTTGACGGCCGCAAAGGCCGCAGGGAACACGGCACGGGCGTAGATGTCAATGGTGTCCGCATCGATGGGTTTGAACCTGGTGCGGATCCCCCCGGGGCCCCCGGGCCGGGCGCCCCCCTCCTTCTTCATCTCCCCTGTCTCCACCTCCACTGACCTGTAGGAACCCATGAGGTTCCCAGGGATGCCACGCTGCCGGCGAGAGACGGCCAGCTCCTGGGTCACTCCGGCGGCCGAGAGGGAGAAGAGCACAATGGCATTCCTCACGTCCATCTGCACAGCAGGGGACAGGGATAAGCCCTGGTGGACAAGGCTCCCATGCAGGACCTCACCTGGGCCAGTGGTAAGATCCCCTCTGCACTCAGCAAGTGCCACTGTGACCTGCAGCAGGCTGGGCTGAGGAGCCCAGAGTGGCTGCCAGGGCCCAGGGCTGAGAGTGACCCACCAGGAGCTGGCCAGCAGAGGGGGCTGGGGGCAGCTGTCTCTTGGCTGTGAGCCTGAGACACACCCTTGGGCGCTCACCTCGGTTCTGGGCTTGGCGACCTTGACCTTGGCCTTCCGCTTCTTCCTGTAGTCGGCATTGAAGTGGGCGAAGGCGTACTCCACCAGTGCAGCGAACACGAAGACGTAGCAGATCCAGAAGTACACGTCCAGCGCCTTGATGGCCGACGCCCGCGGCAGGGAGGAGCGGGCACTGACCATGAGCGTGGTCATGGTCAGCACAGTGGTGATGCCTGCGGACACAGGTGGGCTGTCATCGGAGCACGGCCACTTCCCCGTACCCACCTGGAGAGGGAGAGTCCACCAGCCCTCCATCCCCCACCGAGTGTGGAAGGGCTCCTCTGACCAGGCCCAGTCTGCTGCCCCCCAGGACAGGTGGCACGGGTGGGGGGGGGGGTTCATGCTTCCGCACCCAGAGACACCCTGGCGGGCACTGCTGCCTGACTGATCCAGAAGGAGACCCAGGACATGGCGACCAGGAGGACGGAGGGCATGTAGGACTGGATGATGTAGACGCCGCGGTTCCTCCGCAGGCGGAAGTGCAGGCTGAGCCGGGGGAACTGGCCAGCTGTGGGGACAGCCCACTGTCAGGTGGCCTTCCCTGCCTGACCCACTGACCCCCACAGGACAGGAGAAAGAGGCCTTGGCGGGGACTTGGGCCCACGTGAGGCTCAGAGGGGAGACCCAATAGCCTAATGAGCCAGGGGTCTCCCTTGCCCTAGGTCTGGCCACAGAGAGTGAGGCAGCACAGGGCCACCAGAGACAGGAGAGGAGAGGGCAACGCTCCTGCTGCCTCGAGCCTGCTGGGCGGCCGGCCCTGCGGAGCCCTCCCAGCAGGGGAGGGAAGTCTGTCGGCCTCTTCTGCAGACCCCTCAGTGCACAGCCAGGCTCTGCAGGGACAAGTTGGCCCAGGAGGGCGTGGCCCCTGAGCCCGCCAGTCTTCAGGATCCCCCTAAGCCCAGAGTGCTGGGAGGAAAGGGCCGAGGAACAACAGCGACCTGTCCCCGTCCTGGGCCACCGCCTGTGCCACTCAGCAAGTGCCCAACAAGTGGTTTTCCAGCTGCGTCCCGGGGACCTCAGAGCTGGATGGGGCTCGGCCAGAAGGTCTGAGAAGCCACTGCCGTGCACGGGAGAGAGCCCACAGTACCCGACTTGAAGTTCATCGATTCCGTGGAGAAGTGGTAGCTGGTGATGGTGAACTGGGCCAGCTGCAGCCTGTCCAGCCCGTGGATCTGCTCCTGGGTTTCTGACCAGTAGTAGACAATGTCCTCGGAAGAGTAGCCATCTGCAGGAGAGCCCACGGGTGGGCGGCAAGGCCTGGCCCAGCCGCTGGCAGCCCCCGCAGTAGCACCCCATGCCGCAGTCTTCCAGCTGCCAGCAACCCCATCCACACCAGGAGGCCGAGGGTGGAGCTGCCCATGACAGGGACAGAGCCAGCAGCAGGGAGGCTGTGGGCGCTGGGACCACAGCGCACACCTCTGGCAGGTGCACAGGCCAGCAGTGTTGGCAAAAGCAGGGCCACCTCTGTCAGGGGTGCACAGAGGTGCAGGCTGGACCTGCATCAGTGGGCGGCCGGCACTGATCAGCCTGCTCTCCCAGGCCGCTGTCCTGCAGGGCCATGGCCAAGCTGCTCAGGCCTCAGGCTCTTCTCGCATATAGAGGTCCATCCTGAGAGCTCCCCTGTCTTTTGAGCCAGCCTTGTCCAGGCCCCCCACTGCACGGGCCCCCCACTGCACGGGCCCCAAGAGCCAAGTCTGAGTCCCCTTCCAGGCTACAGAAGCCCAAGGAGCCCACCCAGGGAGCCCACCCCAGGGGGCCCACTCACAGCTCTCCACGGAGCCCACCCCAGGGGGCCCACCCCAGGCGGCCCACTCACAGCTCTCCAGGGAGCCCACCCAGGGGGCCCACCCCAGGCGGCCCACTCACAGCTCTCCAGGGAGCCCACCCCAGGCGGCCCACTCACAGCTCTCCAGGGAGCCCACCCAGGGGGCCCACCCCAGGCGGCCCACTCACAGCTCTCCAGGGAGCCCACCCAGGGGGCCCACCCCAGGCGGCCCACTCACAGCTCTCCAGGGAGCCCACCCAGGGGGCCCACCCCAGGGGGCCCACTCACAGCTCTCCAGGGAGCCCACCCAGGGGGCCCACCCCAGGCGGCCCACTCACAGCTCTCCAGGGAGCCCACCCCAGGCGGCCCACTCACAGCTCTCCAGGGAGCCCACCCAGGGAGCCCACCCCAGGCGGCCCACTCACAGCTCTCCACGGAGCCCACCCAGGGGGCCCACCCCAGGCGGCCCACTCACAGCTCTCCAAGTCCAGCATGCACTCCTGCTCGTCCATGGGGTACTTGGCCAGGTCCATGTCACAGGCCACTGTCGAGGTGATTCTGACCAGACACACGTGCTGTGAGGCCCCGGAGCCTCTGCCAGGCTGGCAGCCCCCTGCTCCCACAGACAGATGTCCCTGCACCAACCCAGAGCTGCCTGCTTGCCAGGGGCACCACCTTGGGCCTGCGGCTGCCCAGGCTTTGTCTGCCAGCTGCCCAGGGTCAGGGTGAGGCTGAAAATGGCGCCCGTGGTGTGATTCTTCCTTCAGGGCATCCGGGAGTGGACGGCATTCGTCGTTGCCATCTTTAAAAGTGCCTGCTATTTGTCCAGGTGGGGGACTCATGAAGCAAGGCCCAGCCTGGGGTCCCTCGCCTGGGGCCGAGGGCTCTGGTTTTCTGGGAGAGACCAGATATTTAGATTCTGATGTGAAAGCTCCTGACTTTTAAAATATTGCCACTGCATCTTTTAAAGGCATGTGCCTGGACAATGTTCAAAAGGTAAATATGTGTTCCCAGCGGCGGAAAGACAGAAGCCACGCATGGCCATCGACAGAAGAGCGGATGAGCACAACATGGCAGAATACGACGCAGTCAAAAAAAGGAGGGAGGCACTGCTGTACCACAACACGGATGACCCTCAAAAACGTAATCTGCAGGAAAAGCCAGATACAGGCCCAGCTGTCTTCCACTGAGACAAGATGGCAGAACAGGCAAGTCCATGGGGACAGTGAGTTGGTGGCTGCCTGGGGCTTTAGGGACCAGGACAGAGTGACTGCTTTCAAAGGGTATGGGTTTCTTCTTGGGGTGACAAGATATTTGGGTTTTTTTTTTAATACCTTTATTTTACTTATTTATTTTTATGTGGTGCTGAGGATGGAACCCAGTGCCTCACACAGGCCAGGAGAGTGCTCCTCCACTGAGCCCCGGCCCTAGCCCATGACGAGATGTTTTCAAGCTGGATGAAGGTGAAGCGGCTCAGTGTGATAACTGCGTAAGTGCCACTGGGCTGTTCGCTCGGGGCTGCTCTGTGTTACATGAATTCAACCCCATTCAGAAAACAGAGAGGCCCCGTCTTGGCCAGAAAGCCCGCCTGTGGCCTCCCGGCAGCAGCCCTGGTAGTGGATGTGGTGTCCTGAGCGGCTGCTGGGAGCTGGGGAGGGCACCGAGGTCACAGTGCCCCTCCCAGGCTCACGGCAGAAGTGTCCTGGCCTCCCGGCCAGGGGCGGCACAGAGGGCCCAGCTCACCGGATGCTGTAGAGGATCACGCCGTCGGGCTGCAGCCGGATGAGCTTGTTCTCCACCGTCACGTCGTGGAACCAGGCGGACTTCGCGTTCACGATGAAGGTGTCGGGGAGCCAGAGCTTGTCCACGAAGCGGCTGTCCAGGCCCAGGGTCTCGTTGGTGTGGTTGTAGGAGAGCCGGCTGTCCCTCCAGCTCTGGTGCAAGAACACGGTCATGGTGTATTCCTGCGGGGGAGCAGGGCGGCAGGGGCAGGGTCAGCCCCGGTCCTCGGAGACACAGGGCCCGGCCGGCAGCGCAGGGGGCACCTACCATGTTCACCTCTGAGATGTGGTCAATGCTGGCCACCTCCAGGGCCAGGGCCACGTTCACAGGGGGGCCTGTGAAGGAGCAGGGGTACTGGAGCCAGCACGCAGGGCCCGGCCCACCGCCCCAGCCACCCCACCATGGGGACACGGACGCCCCTTCTCCTGTCTCCCTGGGGTCTGGGCTTGAAGCCCAACAGACACCTTCACCAGCCAAGAGTCCAGCAGGCTGTCCCCACAGTGAGGGGCGCACTGTCCCGGCCAGCACGCACTGCCCCTCCAGCCCTACCCTCACCTCCGATGCCGGGCCTGAAGTTGCGGGCGTAGCCCTCCATTAAGCCATCCAGGTTGGGGAGCCAGGATATCTCCAGGTTGGAGCCCACGTAGTCCCCAATGTCATTCATGGCTCTGGGGATGCGAAGCAGGTGGTCACCGGCAGGGCACCAGGGTCGGAGCCCCAGCTCTTCCCTGGGGGGGGACGCCTGGGCTGGACGGACAGGGAGGACGAGGTGGGAGCCCCTCCAGCAACCTGGACCGGACTTGAAGAGCCCGGAAAGGCCCCTGGCCCTTCTCCCGGCCTTTCTGTGCCCTCCTCACCCTACCTCAGGGGCCACCCTGTGCGGCCCCAGCGTGCACTGAGCCCCTGGCTCCCTCCTCCAACTGCCAGAGAGGGCACCACTGAGACCAGGAGGAGGCCTCCGCAGAGTCGCCCTCTGGGCTTTGTCCCCAAGCAGCCACAGGCCCTCAATGAGAGTCCTCCCTAGCAGTGCCCTGAGAGGAAGGAATGTGCTGGAAGCCACTGGATGGGGACCCAAAAGGGCCCAGGAGGGTCCAGGCTGGGTCCCCAGATGGCCATGTGCTTCTGAGGCTGAGCCTGACCCACAGCAGCCCATGCTGTCCTTGTCCTCCCAGACTCACCGTAGGGCCACAGCCAGGGAACCCCGCAGCCCGCCCACCCACCTGCTCACCTGGACGGGGCTGGACAGCGTCCCCCCAGGCTCTTGTCCCCTGGAACCTCAGAAGAGGTCTGCTTTGGAACAGGGTCTTTTGCAGGTGTGATCAGTTACGGCGAGGCCCACTGCATCAGGGTGGGCCCCGAACCCTGTGACCCCGTCCTTAGGAGAAGAGACGGGCAGCCGGAGGCAGGTGCAGACCCGGGCAGAGAGCAGCACCAGGACTGCTGGCCACCCGAGGAGCGGGACCGGCCAGCTTCCCCAGACTTTCTAGACAGTTCTGGACTGTGGCCTCCAGAAGTGTGAGAGAACAAGCTTCTGTTGTTTTGGGTCCCCTCATTTGTGATCACGTGTCACATCACCAGTCCTCCCATCCACAGCAAGGACAGCCCACCGCAGGGGAGGGGCGGCTCCTAATGCCACGATGAGAAATGGAGGCAGGGTGCTCAGGAACAGCAGGAGCGCGGGCTTCAGGTCACCTTGAGCCCTGGGCCTGGCCAGTCCTCAGGGGAGACCCAGGGAGGGGAGGGGCAGGAACTGAGCCAGTAAAACCCCAGTCCTGCCCAGAGACACTGGGCCACTGGCCACCACAGAGGCCCTCAGACCCCTCCATCCTGGGCTCCTCCAGGCGCTGATGGCTCCCCGCCCAAGCCCACCTCAGCCTCATGCTTCCTTGGGGACAGGGATGGCAGCCTGGGCTCACAGCACACCCTCCCCCTGCCTGTTGGCAGCCAAGCCCGAGGCCAGCCGCAAGCCCCCTCCGGCCCCACGCCATCCCTCCAGCCGGGCCCCCGGGACAGCTGGGAGGAGCCGTGCCTCCTCTCCAGACCGCATCCCTCCTCTCCCTGTCACCCCGGTCTTCCTTCCCCGTTGCCTCCCCTGCCTCCCCCACCTACCCACCTGCCAGCCTCTGGGACCTCCAGCCCTTCCTCTCCTTCCCAAAGGTCACCCCACTCGGATCACCCCCTGGAGTTCTGCCTGAGACACAGCCCCAGGAGCCCCTCGGAGGATGTTCCCAACCATCCCTCTGTCCATCCACCATCTATCCACAAATGTCATCTAGTGACCCCAAGATGCAAGTCCCCCTTTGGGGACACGGCTGAGCCATGAGCAGAGCCACAGCCCAGGCCATGTAGGGGTCCAGGACTTATGGGGGGAGATGAGTGGCTTTAAGAGTGATGAGAGCCACAGAGGGTAGCAGGGGCAGGGGCACAGCCTCCCTGAGAAAGTGACCCCAGAGCCCAAAGGCAAGAGTGGTCAGGGAGAGGCGGGGGGAGGGGCTCCAGCCGTGGGACAGGTAGGGGTAGGCTCAGCGTCCAGGCTCGGCATCCAGTCCATGGAGGGAGAGGAGGGTGCTGAGCTCAGGATAACCCAGGAGCCTCCCTCCAGAGCCAGGGCAGGGCCTCTGACAGGGACAGCTGATGGAGACCTGGGCGGTGGCTGGGGAAGCAGCCCAGCCTGGCTCTCCCTGCTCCTGCCTGGCCAGCTCACTCTCAGGCAGGTCCCAGTAGCCCCAGGGCCACCCAGTTAGAGAAGCATCGTGGTTAGGTATCCAGGCCCTCTCTCCTCATCTAAGCCACTTCTCTTCTGAAGAGGTTCAGCTAATGAACTTCTGCAGGTCTTTGATCTTTCCTGTCTGAGCACTTGGACACATCACAGTGGACAGGACAAGGCATGGGGGTCTGCTGTCCATCCCAGCGCCCACACGCCCTACCCACCCACCACGGCAACGGCCAGAGCAGGCAATGTGCTAACAAGAGGTGAGATGGCATTAATAAAGTCCAGGACCCAGAAAAGCACAAGTGAGAATGCAAATCACAGGCACAGTGGCCACGCCTGTGGTCCCAGCTGCCACCGAGGTGAGGCCGGAGAATCGCAAGTTCAAGGCCAGCCTGGGCAACTTAATAAGAAGGGCTGGGGTGTAGCTCAGTGGCTGAGGGTCCCTGGGTTCAGTTCTCAGAGACAGAGAGAGAGAGAGAGAGAGGGAGGGCAAAGCCGCCCTGAAGGTCAGATATAAAGAGTTTGAGCTGTGCTTTATTTTTGGACCAGTCCAGCTGCCATTTAGCCTGCCTGGGCCCCACTTCTCGCTTGTCTCAGGCCAGTGACACATGTGTGCACTTTCCCTCGCCCCCATCCCAGGTCTACTTGGGGCCTGAAGGCCAGGCCAGGAGACAGTGCCCACGAAGCTCACCTGGAGTGGCAGGCGATATTCTACACAGTTTCCTGGGAGTGAAAAGGGAGGAGCCCCCACCCGGTGTCATTTCTCTCCTGGGAAGGCAGTGTCCATTTTCCTAGCCGCGAACAGAGGGGAAGGGCCTGGGTACAGAGCAGAGTGTGCTTCATGCAGGACTCTGGGCCCCAGAGGTCCCACTTTCTCTCACTCTGATCAGGACACACAGGGCAGGAAGCCCCCCTCCCCTTGGCAGCTCATGGAGATCTCGGGAGAGGGCTACTGGCTCCTTGCGTGCCGTGGAGTCGGGGTGCTCTGGATTGGGCATCCTTTGACAGAGCAGCTCAGAGACGTGTGCCAGGCTCCCGGTTCTCAGTCAAGGTCAGGAATTCAAACCCATGGGGCAGAGCTGTCACCTTGGGCTGCTCCTCATGCCATAGGGCCTCCCTCCCATCCTGGCCCCTCTGAGAAACAAAGCGGCCCCTGTCACTTGCCTGTACCCCTGAAGACAGAAAGGGACGGTGGGCGCAGCTGAGCCAGGCAGTGGGGCTCCGTCCACCAAGCACACAAAGCCCACGGATCCAACAGCTCTGCTTTTAGAGCAACACGCCTCACCGGCATCCCAGTTACCAAGGCAAAGAGAAGCACCCCAGCCATCGCACTGCGAGCTCCGGGAGATGGAGGCGGCAGCAGCGGGGGTGACACCCACACAGGCATGCAGTTGGCAAGCTCAGTGCACGCTGTGGGAGGGTCCTCAGAGTCGGGCCTGACCCACAAATATGGCTCAACACACCTGCCTCTAATCCCCCAAGCCTTTCTCACCAGCAACCACTGGGAAATCAAATGAGGGGTGAGCCAGAAAAGTCCCGCTGTCCCCCCACAAAAGTCCAGGAACCAGGACCTGGAGCCTGAGGGAGCAGGAGGCCACTGTCTAGAGTGGAGGGGATTCAAAAGCTACTGGACAGGAGGCCCTGTGTGGATACCCATGCTATGTGGAGGTCACTCAAGGGCTCCTGTCCCGGCCCTTTCCCACTTGGGGAGAGCCTTAGTCCCTGAGCCATGCCGGGTCGTTGCCCGGCCAAGGCCAAGAGCAGGAAGGTTGGGAGAACCGTCTAAAAGGGCAGATGCTGAAACGTGGTAAGATGATAACATTCTACCCCAGAGGATGGATGCAGCGTAGTGGCACCTGGCATCTGCCACTACACAGGATGGGAACACTGGCAAGCCTCAGACCTTCCTCCCCCTGGGGCTGGGGTCTCCCAACTTTCCTGCCCTGGTAACAGCTCCCAATCCCTTACCCAAGGCCCCAGAAAGCTTGGGATTTTAGGACGGGAATGTGCTGCATATACAGACTTGGGGGCGGGGAGGCTGGAGACTTTCCCAGCAGGAGATCTAGAAACAGGCCCTGAAATAGGAGAAATAAACACAGAAACCCTCTGGCCACAGCAGGACAGGGCTTGCCACCGAGTGAGTTTTGCTGTTACACTTGAGCTCAAACTTTGGGGTTTCAGAACTGCTGAATTTCAGACTGGGAGAAGGGGCTGTGGGCCTGGGCCAGCAGCAGACCCCCAGGCCTGCAGCTGTACCTCTCACCACACCTTCCTTGAGTTTAAGTCAGGAAAGGAGAGGGGAGAGAGGTCCCTAGGGACTGACAGAGAATAGGACTGCTCAGAGGCTCGCTGGCTCGGGTCTCGAGCCCGGTGGCCACACCTATAGCCTGCCCTTCTGGGCCTCTCCCCCCCCACCTTCAGGGAAACTCTGAACCCTCATTATATGCTGTGGGAGTGCCCACAGCCACAACACAGGCTGATGTCCAGCCATTTCTGGTTCCTAACAGTCCGCTGTCCATCAGTCAGGTGACTCTTTAGTCCAGGGTGCTGGGGGGCTGTTTTTCTACCTTCTGCACCAACATGGTTTCCAGAAAGACCTCTCAGTGGCCTCTCAGGACTCATGGCAGGTGGCTGGGCTCAGTGCTGGGCCCAAGATGCCCTGGTGACCAGGAGCCCATTTTAGATCCCACAGAGGGAAGACCCGGGGATGTGCTGGAGGCCAGAGGGAGGGGGCTCCAGCCCGGGGTGGGGGCTTTCTTCCCAGCCTCCTCCTTCTCTGGAGAGGAAGGCCTCCTCCTTCCCCCACAGAATAAACCCAGTCTCTCTGCTGTGGGGGCATCTGGCTGCCATCCAGCTGCACACTCCGGAGTTCAGTCCGTGCAATTTGAAATGGCTCCTGAAACGAAACCCGGGAGCATCCTGGGCCCGCTACTGGCACAGCGGGATGCGCCCTGCCGGGCCAGAGGCCTCCTCCCCTCCCCACCCCCAGCGCTCGGGTCTCTCCTTTCTTCTGCCCGCAGCTGGTCCTGCGAGCCTCAGCCCGCGCCAGGAAGGGCAGCAGCCAGGCCCGGGCCGGCCCACCCAGTGCGGTGCGGCTGGGGACACCCGACCTGTCTTCTTCCGCGGGGGCGGGAGGAGCCCGGAGCGGCTCGACGCCCGGGTCTGGCCCCGCCGCGCCGCGTTCAGCACCGGGACGGCGGACAGCACCTGGGCCGCCCGAGCGAGGGTCGCGGGTCCTGCCGCCGCAGGGCAGCGAGTTGGGAGGGGAGCGCGCGTGGGGGCATACCAGGGTGACACGGGGACGAAGACTCGGGTCCGGGTGCGCGAGGTTCGCACCGGCCTCCATCCCGAACTCGGGTTCGGGCCGGCGAGGGACCCAGACCCCGGCCCGAGAGCTCCCCGGCACCCAGGGGCTCCCGCCCGCTCCGCACCTCCCCCGGCCCGGGCGCCCGCTCACCTGGCGCCGCGGCGCGGCGGCGCGCACAGCAGCAGGAGCGGGGGCAGCAGCCAGGCCAGCGCGTCCATGGCCTCGCGGGCTCTGCGCGGGACGGTCCGGCCGGCCTGGACGCACGCAAAGTTGCTTCGCCCGCGGCCGCCGCTGCACCAGAGGGGCGGGAGCGCCGGGGAGCGCGGCGCCGCGCGAGGGGCGGACGGAGCGCCGAGCCCGCCCCGCCCGCCCCGCCCCGCGCGCCCGCCCCGCTCCAAAACAGCCCGGAGCTGCGCACCCTGCGCCCCGCCCTTGCCGGCCGCGCCGGGACCCCCAAACCGCTGCCCTTGCCGCCGGCTGCAAACCGGCCCCTGCTCGTGTCTGCCCAGGAGGCGCCCCGGGCGCCATACCCACTGGACGCGGTGGACCGACGGGCAGGGCCGAACCTCGTTCCATAGCGGGGCTTCCCGGGGCTGTATGGGGGCACGGGGATGTCTCAGGGCCGGGGTTGCTGGTTCTGGCAGCCTGGGCTGGGGGCAGGGAAGGTTAAGGCGCCCCAGCGGCGTCCTCTCCGGTCAGGGAAGACCCACATGCGCTGCATCTTCTAACAATGCCGTGCCAACAGCCCTGCTCCCTGGGGACCTTCCCTGAGCACAGAGGAAGGTGGCGCTGCTCAGCAGTGCCCCGTGGTCCCTTCACCTGTTCACACCCCCTGGGAGGGCCCTGCAGGCTGCTGGGCCCTCTAGTGAGATCTGCCCCCACCTCTGTGCCCTCAAAGGGCTGAGAAAGTGGAGACCTCACACCTGCACTTTAATTCTTTCAAAAGTAAAATTTGCACAATTTCCCTTAAACAGCTGATTACGAACTTTACTCATCGCCTACTTTCCTTTATTCAGCGCTGGGCACCTGTCAACTGACAGTGTAAATTAGCTTCTTGTGCAAACATTTTAAAAGGGCAGACTGTCCTCCAGTCAGCTAAGTCCCCTTGTATGACTGGCCACTGGCCAGAGCCATGGATGGAGGGCTGTAGGCTGGGATGTGCCAGGGGCGTCCAGCCCAATCCTGCAGGAGGCATGGGAGAAGGGGGCTCCTGGCTTGCTCTCCCAGACCCAATAGCCAGTCTCAGCCGGTCAGGTCCCAGCCTGTGCCCCCTTCCAGGGTCCCCTCCCCACCCAGAGGGGGTTCTTCTGGTGCTGAAACGCTGACCTCCCTGTGCTCCTGTCAGACTGCTCTGCACGGCTGACTGTCCTGGGCATGGTCCCCTTTGTCCCCTGAGAGAGTGAAGGAGCTAATCCATCCATGACAAAGGGCCCAGGCGTGGAGCCTACCAGGAGCTGTGAACATTCTGAGAGTATTTTTTTTTGTATTATATATTATTTTTATTTCATTTGAATTGTCAAAATAACTTTTGCTCACAGCCCGTAGCCCCACAAAGACCTCTGTGCTTGACTGTGTGGCTGTTTTCTCTTCATACCTTCCAGAATGTCTTCCTTCGCGCTTGGTGACACTCCATGCTGCAGGTATTCTGAGTCCGGAAGGAAGCAGCTGTCGGTGTGGAATGTGAGGACATGCACACTGATTCTTCAAGACAGCTTGTGTCACCTCCACTCTCCTCTACAGCAGCTCCACTCAGTGCTGGGGCTGGTAGAAGCAATCAAGATGTCCTAGAGCAACGATGGATAGCAAAGAAGCTGCCCCACTGTGGCCCCACTGTGGCCCTAAAAGGTAGTTTCTGGGAGTCGAGAACTTCTCATCTCTCAACTCTGTTCTCTTCCGTGCGGACTTCACTCAGAGTCTTCATGTGGTGGGAAGACATCTGAGAGCAGTTTCAGGTTAAAGTGGGTTTCAGAGGCCTTAGTCCATAGAAGGCCAGCTCCATTCCACAGGGCTCACGGAGGCTGTACATCATGGCGAGAGAGTGTGGCAGAGGGAAGCAGCTCACAGGGTGCTCTAGAAGCAGAGAGAGGGCGAGTGTTGTTTCTATCACCCCCTACAGCAGGAACTGGCACACAGTAGGTGCTTAACTGATATAAGAAAACAAGCAGGCTGAGTGTCCAAGAGCCCACACCACCCTGGGCCGCATTCCCTCAGTGTCTCTGAGCATCCCTGATCTCGGAGGTTGCACCCAGGTCAGCTGGCCCTGGCTGTCCTCCTGACCTTGGAGGTCTTAGGCTGGTGACTGGGAGATACTGTCCACCTCCATGCACCTGACCCAGTCCTTCTGGGTGAGCTATGCTCTATGGCTAGCTCCTCCACCTCCATTTTCTGGGGCACAAAACTGACATTGAATTTTCCTGGGCATAGCTCAGGCTGATGCACAGACAACTCAACCATTGATCTAACTGCTTGGTGGTCTCAACTCATCTCTTCTGCTTGGGTCCTGGGAGCAAATGTATTTGAAAACCTGCGTGGAGAAGCCAGTGAGGAAGTCAGGTGCTGACCTGTTAGACTCAGTGCTCTCCGGGTCACAGACGAAGGGCGTCCCTTTCCAAGCACCTGTGATGTTGACCAAACTGAGAGCAAAACGTGTGTTTCCATCACAGTCTCACACTTTGTTGAATTCTGCTCTGTCCCTGACAGGGGCTTCAGCCTGAAGGTAAAGAATGGCAGTTTTCCTCCTTCCTTCTTCAAGATCTTTAGAATCAGTTTGCTCCCACTTCTGAGCTCCCGTCCCACAGCTCCTGCCACACCAGACCATCCCCAGCCCATGTCCAGCTCCACCCAGGGAAGCTGCAGCCACCCCAGACCAGGAAGGCACCCGGGAAACGCCCACACCAGGGCAGGAGCCAGAGCGTTGGTCCTGCATGGCCAGCCCTGGGCTGTGGCCAGCCCTGTGGCAGGAGCTCCCCTTCCCTGTGGTCAGGGGCCTGTGTGCTCTACCTCCACTCCTGACCTGCCGCGGGGCTTGGGGAAGTCATTCCCTGGCTTTGGTTTCTTCAGGCACAGAATGAAGGGGTGAGAGCGGCCGGGTGTCAGAAGCCTGTGACCCCTCTTATGGTTTGGATGTGAATGTCCCCCCAAATCTCCTGCGCTAATGCAGGAATGTTCAGAAACACAGGGATGAGATTTCGAGAGCTGTGACCTAATCGTGCATCCTGGTTCGAATGACGTGGTGACCATAGCAGGTGCCTGTGGCCGGAGGAGGAGGGTCCCTGGAGCCAGTCCTGGGAGGGTACGTATCCTGGTGTCCCCTCTCCTCTCACTCTGCTTCCTGGAACCGCACTCTGACTTGCAGTCGCTCGGCTGCCTGGGGTCGCTCCCGCGCTCACCGGGCTCCATCATTGTTCCTTGGCAGCAGTGGAGGGGTCTCTATCAACGGGAAAGTCTCTGTCTCAGGTGCTCTTGGAAGACACCTGGACACTCCTCTCCCCTTGTCTTGGTGTCACCGAGTGCAGAGCAGGGGTCAGCTATGTGACTGCAGGGACAGCAATGAGAAAGAAACCGGGACTTCAGGCCTGGGCTCTGGGTCCCTGGACATCTATTCAGCCTCCCGAAGGCTCCCTTGCTGTTCATTTGACATGTAAAGCCCTGGCCTCTCCACTGGGGATCCACCCAGTCCTGTGGTGGGGTGCTGGGGCCGTGGCTATGGGTCTTGTGCCCAGTGCAGGGAGGCCTTCTGCCTCCCCATATGGCCCTGGGCAGAAGGCAGCATAAGCCCTGGAGGTGTGAAAACCTGCCTCCTCCGTCAACCCGGAGAGCATGGCCCTGGGCAGCTCAGAGGGAGGTCACCGGACAGCTCCACTGTGCAGGTAAGTGGCCCACAGCTCTGCCGGTTTATCCGGTTTATCCGGTTTATCCGGTTTATCCGGCTGAGGCAGGAGGATACAGTTTATTCCTTGCTGGATGCTGGATGCTCGCAGCACAGGGGAAGGTATAGCGCCCAGCGGGAGGCTTGGGAGGACAGCTGGCTAGTATCCGTCAGGGCGGCTCTGTGGCAGCAGGCCGGGCCCCAGGGGGTGGAGGTGATTCATGCAGCCTGGAA